CAGCTTTTATGCTCCATATATCTGGAACAAACTCCCAGAAAGCCTCAGATCAGCTGAAACACTCAGTTTATTTAAATCCAGGTTGAAGACTCACCTGTTCTCAGCTGCATTTGAATAAAGCACCAAATCCACACTTACACTTTGTTTACGTTTTTAATTGCTGTGAACATTAGGATAAAATGAATAACAAAATATCTGTGTCAGCAATGTCCAACATCTCTTCCCAAAACAAAAATGGAGCCTATGAAAATGTATAAGCAAATAATAAAACTGCTTCTTCTAAGCAACAGACTAAAGGAGGACAGAACTGGAAAAATCAAGGTGGCGTTCATTTAATGTGGTTTTCAATAAAGGATATTGATGACAGCTTTTAATGAGCCTCATTAATCTTATATGTGCCAATTACCAGAGCTGTGTTAAGAGTTGCAAGTGTACAAATTTAGTTCAGTTCTTCATTCATCATATTTTGCAGTTATTTAGCCCTAGAGCAGGATTATGACTGTCTCTAATAATGAACATTTACCTGAGTGAATAATATCACTTTGGCATCAGAAGCAGTGTAACAATTACACAATCTTGATAGTGCTACGCATTTGTTTTAAGGTAATGAAAATGGAGAATCGATAATCATACAGAAAAAAACAATAACAACAATAACAATAATATATATATATATATATTTTTTAAAGTTACGCAATAGAGGATTAGCTTGAATTGGGAAATCAAAAACAGAACCTGTGTGTTCCTGGAAAATCCTATGTAGTTCTGTAATATGGAAACTTTAAAGCACAAATCTCAGGAGAAAATAACTGGACTGTGAACATCGAGGTTGCTCAGTTCACTGGCTGCTCTTTCTTTGTCATTGTCACATGCGAGTACATCGCAGCAGCGCCCAGCGGGATGAGGCCAGTCAGAGAGTTAGCATCAGGGCCTTCTGGCACACCAAAGAAAATAAAAGCTGACTGTAATGGATGAATCATAAGGTCGTCACTCACGCATCCACCAGGATCAGCATGTCCTTGGGTGAGGCGGCCCCCTGGATGTACCTGGTGAGTAATAGCACACACACATACATAGGTTGTGGCTACTAAGCACATACAGATATATATGTGCACAAAGAAGTGGAAAAACACACACGCACGAAGGAACAGTCAGTAACTGTAATGCAGAAAGGCTATTTTTAAAATGCAAAGCACAAAGATAGAGGCATTCACCTTTTGTGAGCAAGAAAGCAAAAACTTACTAACTTTCATCAATTGCTTTGCATTTCAAATCAATCTGAACTTTGTAATAGTTAATTACATGTCTGCTCTCATTTCTTTAATAAGCAAACAGTTGGCTGTCTTTGTTAGAGTGCTCAGTTGCTAACAGGCTGTCTGAAGCTAATGAAATTTAATAACATGTTTAAAAGTGTAGTGGTGGCTTCCAGCCAGATTTTAATAATTTTCAGACAACTAATTAAGCTTTTGTATTGCTACCCTTTGATCTGCAGTAGCTTAATCATCATAGTCCTCTGATGTGTTTGTTTAAATTAGTTTTGCTTTTGGCAACAGGTGTGAATGTGATTGTTTTAAACTATGCATGCATGCAGATGCTCTTATGAGAAACCGTGTGATGAAACATGCAAATACAGTTATTATGATAAATGTTTCACATGACAATTGCTCAAAAACACCAGATAAATGTGGAAGCTCGATGACAGTAAGGCACAAAAACCTCACCACACTGAGTAGATGCACCTACCATGGTCGTCTGCGCACATCGTAGAGGTCAATCTTATTCTGTGATTTGCTTAGGTCCATCCATGGGGATGCTGAAATTTTGGCAGAAGGAAAACACATGGTTATTTAGATTTAGACCTTAAAAAAAAGTACATTTACACCGATAACAGACACTTTCGCTTAATAGGACTTTCTTACCTATAAAATTACATTCCATTTTAAACTTTGCCTCAAGGGGCACACTTTAAAACACGCGTCTTCAGAGCCTTTAGCAGACAACTTGTCTGTCACTCTTAAAAACTTCAAAACTGCTTTAGCTAAACCTGTAAAACTGAGTACTAAAACATATATACACAAAGCACTGAGTCACATTACACCTGCAGGACCTGACGCCTATGGACACTCATACCATTAAGCTTGTGGTGCACAGTTTTTGGGCTGATGCTATTAGCTCACTACTGAAAATGCATTTACTGAGAAAGCAGAGCATACACCCGTGGTCATGGATGTACCTGGATAATTTAATAATGTTGATGGGTGAATGTAAAGGGTTAGGGTGAAAACACCTGAATTCAACAATCAAAAGGTGTTGCCCATTACTTTTGTCTTTACAGTGTATCTTCTTTTTATTATTGTACACAATCAGAGGAGGAGTCTCACTGTAATAAAACAGCAAAGTCTTATAATATTGGTATGTTTTATGCTCCTGGTGCTTGGTCCTTGTGTGACTCTGTCTTTTGCTATGGATTCCCTAATGATAAACTCTTCCTTAGACTACAAAATAGGATTTGAATGATTCAAAATCAATCTGTGCTTTTACAAAAACTGTGAACTTACTAACATTACCAGAATTTCTGAATTGAGAATATGGACTGATATTACTTGAAGTCACAATTATGACTAAACTACATGTAATTTTGAAAAATTGAGATATATTGCAATTTTTCTGTTTGGTTAGCAGTGGTTTCCTTCATGTTGTTTTTCTATTAATACCTTTTTGTTGTTTTTCTTACAGTGGAGGCATGAACAAACATTTTAGCAAGTTGTAGAGATTTCAAAAGCTGTTACCCTTGAGTTTTTTTTATCACTTTTTTCAGTATTGCAGGTTGTGTTTGTAGTGTGATCTTAGCATCATGTCTACTTCAACTGAGAAAAGCATCAGTCCTGTCTGCCATTAGTGGATAATTTGTCCTGTTTCCTACTGATTAAAACCACGGTCTTTTCTAGTCTGTCAACTTATGCAAATGCCTAATTCGTCCTGTAAGATCTCTGTTGAGATAGCACACTGATCTGTTACAGCAGGCTCTGTCAAAACTAAACAGCCTTTGTGTTCCCCTTTATTTACAGGAAGGGGCATTAATTGTAACCCATGACTCCTAGTAGTTTCAAGAGAAATGGCAACAACAACACTTCCTATACTCAGGTATTGTATATAAATGCCCAGTGTAGATAAAATAAAGACATAAAAGGTTGTGCTTTTATACATTTTTTGCAACTATTGTTTGCAACTGTTAATTCGACATTTAAGATGCCACTATTTATTTTTACAGGAACCAGGAATTTCCTATGTAAAGTATAAAAAAAGAGAAGAAACACTTGCAAGTGCATATGTTTTACATCAATTATTTAATGACTACCATGCCTATTTACCATTCCGAGTTGTGCCAGATTTGCATGCATTTGACTGTAAGATGATTTCCCTTTAGTGGAAATTTTGTGTTCCTTTGACTCACCACCAAATAGTCACATAGTCACAGGTCTAAGCCCCATTGCATGCTGGGCTGCTTACCTGGGAAGTAACGAGCCAGTCCTGTGGCAGAGCCAAACACTTGCCAGAGGAGAGAGGGATCTTCCTCTTTGTTCTTCCGGAAAACATCCTCCAAGGCTTCTGTCCAGTTTAACTCATTCAGAATGATGGTAGCTGAAAAACACACACACATGCACACATACATACAGAAACACATGCACACACAGAAATAAAGATGAAATGAGTCATGCTTGTGCAAAAGTATAAAATCATAAAAATCACACAAGCACAAAATGTCAACATGTTTCAGAAAGTATTTACTCTAAAAAAAAAGCAATTCTGGGAAAAAAAACCTCACTTGAAAGTCAGATATACACACACACACGCGCGCTTGGATTTGGCAGTATTAGTCTACTGACACTGACGGCAAAGAGGAAGCTTCCTCACTGATATTCAAAGTGATGTCTGGCTTCTTCAGTGAGATTTATATTTTAGTTTTTTGCTCTAAAAACATTTTCTATAGCAGGGGAGCAAAAAAAGAGGTAAACAAAGACAGGAGAGTCATGAAGGTAAAAAAAAAAAAAAAAGTATGATTCAATTTGGTATTTCTGGAATAAGAAAAAATCTTCCAGGTACTCACTGACTGGACATGCATTGTTTTGTTTACCTGTTGGTCTACAGAAGCTTAAATCCCAGACAATGTTTTTAGATACAAAAAAAACAATCACAGTCTTCCTGGAAGCGTAGGCTACTTGTTGAAATGACTCATACTTGTGTGGCCTGTGCAGATGCCTCCAACAAAGTGAGATTGTTCTAAGAGCAACTGAATTAAAAGAGGAAAAAAACAGCATAAAAAAGGGGGCAGCCAGGAGATAAAGACTTTGCTTAGGCAGTCGTGTTAACAGCTGGCACCAGGCTGTCTGCTAAAATGTAAGAAAAGTTAGAGTGATGTACCTGTAACTCTGAAACTTAATTCTAAACTAAATGAGCATTTTCAGCTTTTATAGAGTCAAATCAGGACAAATGTGCACAAACTCACATAAAGACACATAATAATGTCAGTTGAAGCAGGCAAAGACAAACTCGGAGGATCTTATAGCAAATCTTATATGAGGTGCTCTATTTGACCCTTTTCAACCTGCCTGCAGTTGCTGGCAGTCTTTGAGCCACTTTCCAATTACATATATTTCTATATGTATAAAAAAAAATCTAGAACTCCTTGCCTTCCCCACAAAAGCCTGTTTTACCCAGCCCTGTAATTCTTTGTACCACAAAGACGGAGTTTGGGGCACTTTGGTACTATAGTGAAATGTGTGTGTCCCAGTGATAAGTGGCCCTTAATGGATTACTCCTGCTGGTTTCTCCACTACGACTGACAAGAAGTCTCAGGATAAGACACACTGTTATGCCCTCATGCTGCTCATACTGTACGCTGAAATAACAGGGAAAGAGCATCTTGATTATTTCATTCAATTCACTGCCACAGGATACATGATCTGTGCGAATGTCAATACATAATGACAAAATGAATCCCTCACAAAGAGAGCAGCTCCTCGCTCACTACGCATGTTTTTTCCCTAGCTGCATCTTATACAATTGACAAACTCATTATAGTCTCCTCTAGGAATATGGATGCAGACACACAGTATATCGCAAACAATTGAGCTCACACAACCCACATGGGCAGATTAGGCACCACTGACAAGTCCTTAGCAACAACACTGTGGTATTGCAGGGCTGTGTCCTTTAATCTCAGCTATAGACTGGAACAAATTGCAGTAAACAGATCCATCTCAGTGCTGACGTGTCAATAGAAGGTTTGAGGTCAAAAGGGTCAGAGGAAGAAATGAGAAGCATCACAGCAAAAATGCAAACTCTGGAAAGCTCTATTAGTCAGGTGGAGATACTGAGATTTGTTATCCTGTGGTGTGTTTGCATCCACTGCCATTCACAAGAACTGTATTATGATATAAACCCCTCTCTCCCATTTAGCTGTCTTGATTATATACAATTTGATCCAGTGAAAACTTTATAAAATGCATAATAAAAGCGCTCTGAGCACAGAAATTGGTATAGGACTTATTTGTATGCCACCAGACTTTTGCTACACTGGAAAAAACTACCGGTCCTTGTTGTAGATAATTAATTACTGACCGATCAGATAATAATTAATTCAGAAAGGATGCTTTGACAACAACCATGGCAGCCTCATAAATCACACGATTCAAATTCAAACACGGGAGATAAAAAGTGTGAGAGAGTGGGAGATAAAAAAAAAATTAATGATTCTTGGTCCAGAGAAGTTATGGGAACTGATTATGGAAAAGATAATTGAAAGTATTCACTTTGTGGTGGGTAGAGGCCTCCAATAACACATCAAGCAGGATTCTGGCATAGACTGATGAGGGTGTTGGCTTCAGGAGGAACGGAGAAAGCGACAAGGTGCAATGCCAAGCGATGCCCTGCAGTGTTCCCCTGTCATCAGCTAGCTGGTGCCTCAAACTGCCTATGTGTTTCAAAGTAATTACACGTTGGGGACTGATGTGGTGAGAACCTGCAATCATCATATCAGAAGGGGGCCCTCCAGTCCCTGCCACTCACAACTGATTGTGACATAAGCACAAACGCATCCCTTTTGCAGCAATTCACACATCATTGGCATCATCGCTGTGTGAGGCAAAGCAGGATCGGACCCGAAATGCAGGAGTCGGGAGCAGGACTAAGCTAGAAAGCAGCTTCACTGCTGAGTTTACAGGTCATCAGATAAACAAATGCAGCTACTCAGGATTACTTAAACAGAAGGCAGACAGACTCCAAACAGACGGCTCACCCAGCTAGAGGGGATAAGAGAACGACGTGACAGGGAACAGAGGGAGATAGAGGACTTAAATGCACACATGAGCTGGGGGACAGGTGCAAGTGAACAGATTCAATTAACGAGCAAGAGGGGAAGCAAAACTGAGCACAGCACACAAGACAAGCGGTTGTCAAAATAAAACAAGAAACTGACACTGAGACTGAGACTAAAACACATGAACCAAAGTACACAGACCAAGGAGGAAACTGGACAAACACGCAAAACATAACAGAAACACAGACGAGGCAAGGGGAACATAGGAGGATAGGAAAAACTTGTGGATAACTAACAAAGAAAACTATGAATTCCAAATCAAAATGAAAACACAACCTAACCAAAGCAAAGGTAATACTTAGACTGAAAACTACAAAGTTAAATAGGAAATATCAAACACAAAACTGTATTCAAAACAGAAAACTCTGGGTACAAAACCCAGGATGTATTTTTCTTGATAATATAACAATATGGAAGAAGAAACTACACAGAACAACTGAACAATGTACAGTTAATATTAAAGAAGCACACACTGGCCCTGACTTTTCTGATTTCACTGATTGGAGAGGTACAATGACCAATCCTGCTAATCAGTGGCTCCACCCTGTTGCTGCCTCAATTAAATGGAGCATGGATGTCGTGCTCCATTAGTCTAATATGAGCAGTTTTCTCCTCCTATGCTTGTCATTAAGAGCTCTCTACTACTAAGAGAAATGTTTGTAAACCATAATCTGATTTGTTTTCCACTCTGCCATTATTCTGCTGATTTAGTTTCATGTAGCCTTACCAGCCACACACTACACAGGCTCACACTTAGTTGTTAAACCAAACTAGAAATAGAGGTGTTCCTCTGTAGTGATTTGGGCGGGAAGTTTAACTGTTTTGGTTTACTGGTGTTTTTTGTAATTTATGTAGTAAGCTGGTTTCATTCTCTTGGTTTGGCATGTAAAGAAGAAAGTTTTCACAAGGCTGATTTAATAGCTTGTAGAACCCCTTCAAGCACCAATAACTTTCAAGCAATCATTTTCTGTATGGCTTCCATCCATCTCTCACATTGATGTTGAGGAATTGTCACGTCCGGTGTGGCAGACGTGTGGAATTGGAGATAGGACCCAAAATGCGGCAGCTCTGGTGCAGATGAGTATTTATTTAACAAAAGAAAATACAAACAGCAATGGCGTGGGTGAAGGTGAAAGAGGAAAACCTAAACTGGGTAAAACTAACAAAACAAACCAGAAACGAAGAGGCAGGGAGGTCCAAGGAAGTACATATGGGGAGACCGAGGGAAAACAACACAGACGAACCAGCACGAGGACGAGGTAACACACCCTATAAATACACACAGCAGGAATCAGGGGATGGGAAACAGGAGGGGAACACACCTGGAAGACATCACAGCTGATGAGGCAGGGGAAACGTAAACAGAACACACTGGCATAAGACACAGACCTTCACAATAAAACAGGAACTTACACATGAAAGGACACAAACTAAGAAACGCGGACTAGATACAGGAACACACGGGCAGAACAGAGTAAACACTAAACAGGAAGAACAAAACCAATAATCACACAAATAGAAAACACAAAACGCTGGGTCAAAAGGACCCAGGACCATGACAGGAATTTTGTCCCACTCTTTTTAAACACTGACATTTGCAGACATTAATTTATCCACCACATAGCATTTCAATCAGGCTGTGCATACTTTGTAACCGAACTGCACATGTTTGTCACACGACTGTTTCCAATGATTTTTGTTATCCTGTTTTGTCACAGTGCTTTACTTTAGCAGTAAGTAACCCTACTTTAACAACTGGTTTTACTGGTTATTTGCTGCTCTTATGTACCATCTCTGAGCTGCGACGCCACAACCACTCCATGTGATTTGTAAAGACCCTGCTGATTGTGTTGATAAACTTACTCCATTCTAAACTATTTAGCTGTGATGCTTGAATCAAAGAACTGGCCAGACTATCTCCATCTTGTCCTTGCCATTGCAATCAGATGACGTGATCAAAGAAAGAGACAAAAAAAGAAAATGACTGTGCATGAGTCTCACTTTGAGTTCTGAAAAAGATGGTGGTTTGTGGACCAGATGGATAACACACTTGAGTAAATACTAAGTAAAATTACTGTCTGTACACATTACATTTATGTATAGGCATAACCTGACCTGGGACCACAGATACAAGAAAGATGGAATCTGCAGGAAAAACATTTTGAGGTTGTGAAGAAAGAAACCCCCACACACCAATGTCTGTCTCCTTGTTTTCTTAGAAAAGGTGAAATGGGATTAAAAGAAAGAAACTTTCTCGGTTTGGCTACTCATTTGGGGGAGAATCCAAATCGTATGCTCCTATCAGCTGATTAAAAAAAAAATCACGGGAAGGCATCCAACTTGTCGCAAGGACACAATTTAAAGCTGCACCAATGTAATGACTGTGAGACGGGAAGACAGATGAAGGAAGGATACGCACACAGAGATACACGGAGACGAAAATGAAGATACCTCCAAGTTTGGCTGCCAGCATCGTAAATGAATTAGGACGTGCATCAAGTGGCACAAGAGTGCAAAAAGAAAAGAAAATCAGTTCATGTGCTGTGAGCTTTGCCAAAGGGGCTGTAACTATAACACACACACACGCAAACACGGTGTCACAGTATCCCAGCGTGTCAGAGAGTTTGTGTGTCTGGGGCTGACAGGTGCCACACAGCGTTGATGCAAACGGGCATCAGACGAGCCTCGGATCTCCTGCCAAGGCCGCAATGCTCTCTTCTCATCTCTTCTCATCGCATTCATGCCAGTCTGCTTAATGAGAGAGGAGACATGCATACACATGATCCATATACAGTAGAGTAGGTGCATATGATGTGACACACACACATACGCACACAGCCCTCACACCCAAAGTGTTTCTTCCTCTCTTTCTCCTTACGACGCACACACACACACACACACACACACACATACAAACCTAGCCTTTTCTGGTAAGCATGCACACACACACGTAAACATGATAATGAATCCCAGTCTGACCACCCACATTGGAGCAGTGGGTGGAATGGATACCAATCAGCAAGACTAATGCAGAGGAGAAAGACGGTAGCGCATTTGTCTCCTCACAGCACACTATTAATATGCCTAATATAATAGAGCGAGGGATGGGGAAGAGAGGATAGAGTGATAGAGGGTGGGGTGAAGGGAATGAGAGCAAAGTACTGAGGAAGATAGAAAAAAAAACAGAGCTAAAAAGGTACACACAAAGGCATGAAAAAGGAACTAAAGCATAAAGTAAAGAGAAAGGAAAAAGAAAAAGAGGAAGTGATAGGAAGATGTAGCGGTTGTGGAGAAAGTCTACTGCAATTAAAGGGTCGGATGATGCATCGCTCCTTTAGCATCAGTAAAAGCCACAAGGACGCCAGCCTTGTCTAGACAAAGTCCCCTAATCAACTTACCAATCCTTCCTCCATACAACGAGATAGAACATCGGGGCGTGGCTAAGTGTGTGTGTGTGCGTGTCTCCTCCTACACACACACGCACACCCAAAGACACACAGATATTGCCATAGCAACGCTGACAGTACTACCCAGAAGGAGAGGCAGCAATGTGGCAGCCTGTCCTTGGAGATAGAAAGCAACAGCACTAGCACAGCTTTATTACTGCGCTAACAGGGACTCTGCCCAGACCCCACCCTCCATCACCTGCTCCTATAATGGTAAAAGTTATTTTTTTAGCTGTATTTTACTGAAAATTGCTGAAAATATTACCTTAAATGTAATCGGTAATGCAGTCTATTAGGTCAGGTTTTTAATTTAGAAACAAAAATTAACATTCACAGATTTGTACTTTTCCTCACCAGTTCTTTGCTGGTGTTAGTACCAACAACAGTGTGGAGTCAGTTCTATCTCAATTGAGAACCAGCCCACAATTCAACAGGTTTAAGGGCCATTGATTATGTAATACAATAAGCAGAGTTAGCAGAGTAGCTTTCAAGTCACACTAACATTAACATGAAAGTCATTTGGGGTTTTATGGTCCCGCTAGAAATAGACAGAGGGACAGACGCCTATAAATACTGTAATAAAGAAAAAAAACAGTTGAACGAATCACACTAAGAACAATCCCCTCCTACCACGCAGGCCCCCTACCCTTCATCGTCATAACTGCGGCTTGTAAAAATAACTGAGTGCATTTGGCCATTTGGCTATGACAAAAATGTCTGCACAGTCAGAGGCCCGTCACTGTGCACATTTTTAGTCCAATATGTTGACTGACTCGCTGTATAAGGGCATTAAAGTCATGTGATTAAGTCCACCGAATTTAGCCACTGGCCCACAGAGAAGATCATCACTGGAATTGATAATGAATGTTTAAATCGGCACCAACGCCTGGATTCGAAAAAGTTATTTAAATGTTCTGATAAATGTTACTATCATGTGTAGTTTAATGTAGTTTGTAATGAAGTTGTGACACATTACTGTAACATGATATGTTAAGCTGCAGTCAGTGATGAAGTGTGACTATGAAAAGCTTTTCTAAAGCTTGGACTGAAATAGTAGAGTTCATTCAGATTATTATGGTGAGGCAATTATGACCTTTAATTCACTGTTAGTTTCTCAAATTACAAGCTTCCCTTTATGTTGTCTGTCCTCTTGATTCTAAATGTCCTAATATAGTATATAGTTTCTATATCGCATATAATCTATATGCATTGCATATCTACCAGCAAGGACATTTAATGCAAGTATTTCTATGCACATGTATGTACAGGCATGCTTATAGTTATATATTTGTGTGCACCAGTGTCCAGTCATTATACTCACCAGTGTCTAATAGTGTACTTTGTATTAATGTAGTCTTTTTGTTGTTACTTTGAAATCTCATTCAAAGGATCATGTCAATGTTTTTTAAGGAAATATCAATCAACACACCTTGATTAAATACAAACCTCTACACTCTATATTAACCTATCACAAAGATTAAACATATCGTAGTTTGCAGATGCACACAAAAGCGATTTCCTTGATGCTGGCATTAATTAAACGGTAGATGCCCATTTTGTATTTGACACTGTAAGGCCCTAGTAGATCAAACGTCAGTTATATAGCTCTGAAATAGTTTATAGCTAAACTTGTTACATTTAATTACAGCAAGCTAAATTTAGTATAATCAATGACCCGACCATTCTGTTTTCCGACTCTGTGCTGGGGGCTTCAAATTGGCCTGGGCTTGGTGCACTTTTGAAGAAAGAATTCAAGTGTTTTGCAAATTTCGCAAAAATAGTTCCATGATTTGTCATGTAGAACGGTCACAATAAAAGGACGTACAAGCAGAGTGCAACGGCCAGTGCAACACAAAATTTGGGGCCTTCGCTCTAGGCAGCGCATGCCGCGTCCTATGGGAAAGGGCCTTTAATCTGACGAATGATAAGAAGTGTGCTTTTGCATAGGCACACTTAATAATTCTATGGTGTGAACATTAGAGTAAATTAAGACCCTTGGACAAAGATACTAAAAGATTACTGATAAACATGGTCAAATAGCTGTGAACAGCTTCAGGGAAATACAAAGCATCCTGCCAAAGGCCAATCTACAGACCTTCTGTGCAACTGTTGAGAGGTCAGTGGGGCCATCGTGGACATGAGGGAAAGGAGCAGCTGGTGACCAGGGTAAAGTGGGAGCTACAGACTGCTGACCACTGGGAGGATGGCATTTGGGTTATATATAGACTGGAATGGTTTAGCCTTAGCGTGGAACTGTCTACACAGTGCAGACAGCACTGGAAGGCTGAGGTCACATCCTGAGTACTGTAGATAGTACATATTGTGACGAAAGGTAAAGCGAGAGAGAAAGCGTGTGTGTGTTTTTTTTAACTTACACCCTTCGTATATATCCGTTGGGATGTGGACGGCAGTTGTGTTGTAGGAGACGTCTCGTTTGAAGTCTGGGTCAAAACTGAAATCCTCGGGAATGTATGGGATCCTCTTCTTCTCCTTTCCATCTTTCTTCCCTTCTGTATCTGACTCGCTTTCTATCCCACTAAGCTACACATGAAAATAAAGAAGAATAGCAGAATTTGATTTTTTTTAAAATCGCATGGAAAACATTTTTGGCTTTATGTGTGTACACTGTAAAATTACTGCATAGCACGTGTAGTATCTTCATGTAATGGATAATGTATGCTAGATGTTATGTGGTGATAGATAAATGCCAGTATCTAGATAGAAGCAGATAGAAAGGGGAGAGTCAAACAGAGAGTGACATTAGTGTGCAGTGGGTGTGTGGTTGTTTCCCACTGGGGCTGTGGAGAGGAATTAGATGTCGAAATCTGTTTATCAAAGCAGACAAATGATGTCCAAGGCCAGGAGAGGCATTAAATGCGTGATGCACTAAACATGAACTGGCCCTAATCCATAAAAAAAACCTGTCTCATAAACACGAGTCAAATATAAGTATAAGCACAAAAACAGCTTTTGTGGCATGCACAAATTTGTACTAACAGAGATTTATTTGCATAAATCTTAAATCTTACAGTTCTTCAAGGCTACAATGAAAACTCAAATCAGCTTTTTCCCCATTGTAACAATGCAACAATGCTGCTTGATGTGGATGGCTTGTAGGATTTTACTGGAGAATTGGCATCACATCAAATTGCTCAAGTTGTACTTACGTCGTCTTTGGCATTGTAGTAATTGATTTTCTCGACCTGCAAAAACACCAAAACAGGAAAATATCAATAAAGCATGACAAGAAATACACAAACTCTTAGTCTAATCTAGTATCTTAATACTAGATTGAAACAAAGCATCTGATGCTAGTCAAAATCTTAAAGGTGTTTTACCAAGATTGCCCTCACAGATGGCCATGCTTAAAAAGGCTGTGGTGTTTCCATATTGCTCCCAGTCTTGCCACATTGTGCACTACCTGGAGTACACACTGGTATATGTCAGTGCAGTGTAAAACTAAGTGTACAAGCAGCTAACAAATTGACCTGTCACTGACAGCAGCAGAAAGTGTGTATTTCAGTGTCCAAAACAGAAAAGGTTTATCATCAGGAGAGCATAAATGTCCTAATTCTACACGTAGTACGAAGAGCGAAAGATTTCAATTAAAAAATTAAGGTTCCTTCCTATCCTAATTCCTGTTACCACTGGGATTCCACTCTGCAACGATGGGTCACTGGAGGCTAATCACCAAATAGCTTAATAAAATTCTGTATCTCAATAAATCATGTTCAACCTCAAAACAAAAAAAAAAAGAAACAGAAAGCAGATGAACAAAACTTTAAAAAAAAAAATGCTAAAGCTAGTCTCAAAAACCATAAAAGGGCATCTGAATCTCTCAGTTTAACTTGCACCTGCTACTTTTCCCTGCAGTCCAAGTGAGTTTGCGTCTGATACTGAGCAGCAGTGAAGTAAGTGGTGTTGTTTTGCTCTTACACTGCTGGGCTTGCTGTCGGTACACGGGCTAGCAGGGTGATAACGAGCTAGCCTAGCTGTTGACGTAAGAATGCCCCGGAGCCACAGAGATAGTTCACTGATTCCAACCACCTGCATACCACCTCTGAAGTGGCACGCCAACAGAACAGCAACTGCTCCTGCCACTAACACTGCTGTGTTAGCTTAAAGAGTTTGTAATTATCTCACACACAAGTGATTTAGCAGGGCAAACTGTGCCAAACACAAACATCTGCTCTCCATTTTTCTGCTTTGACTGCTCCAATATACCAGAAGACTTATGAGATCAACTATATCTGCAAAGTGTGCCACAACACACCCATACACACAAGTTAATAACAGCAGACTGTCTCATGATGTTTTGTGTCAGGTGACGTTAGTGCAGACAATTTGCACATTAAGGTCACACCATCATACCTCCCAAAGGAGAAAACTGTGTGCAAGAACACTTAATGTGTGAGACAGGCAAAGGAGATGAAGGGAGCGTAAGGACCAAAAAGTGAATACATACATAACAAACGTGTATGTTGTGTGTATGATCTAAATCTTATCTGAATATGCATATGCTTATTAATGTATTGCATCTCATTTCACACAGGTACACCTGCAGTTCATTTTTACATTTTTAAACACCAAATGACTCATTTAATGTGCTATCCACTTAGAAAAAACTTGAACATCATCTGTTCCCACCAGTTATGGTGCTTTCCATCACTACTTTCTGTCAACAGTCATAAAAGGCGACCTTTGTTTTCTCAGGTAGGTCGTAAAGCATTATATTTACATTTTAAGCAGCATAAAATTTGGGACTTTAATCCTACTCTTACATGAAGTATATCAATGTGATAAGTGAATACCAAATGCAAACACAAACAACAGCAAAAGGATTAAAATGATTATGATGCACTGACACATGCAAATGTGCTGTTCTTACTGCAGCTGGCACTGGCTTTCAAGTGACAGCAGGAAGAGGTGTCCAGCATTACTGACCCAGTTATCAAAGGTGACAGACAGAGAAGACACAGGCACATACACACACAAACACACACAATGCTCCACTTGCTATTTCAATAAATTTACTATTATCACATTAAGATGATATTTTTCATGTCTTAGTATGGTGGCAACAGTCATGGTAAAAGTACACTCTCTGTCAATTCTTTGCGCATCAGGACATATCGCACCATGTCATCATTTATTTAACAAAAATTAAGTAAAAAAGACGAAATGCAGAAGCAGTGTGTAAAAAGAATACACCTGGTCTGGAACATTTCGGTGTGTTACTGTAACAAAATGCCAAGAAGAAGCCATGAAGACATTTGCTTATAATGCACAGCACCTTGTTTGGTGAGAACCAAAGCTCATCAGCACAAACAGCTCATACCGACTGCCAAGCACGGGTGATAATTTGGGCAGTCACTAAGTCAACCATGAACTCCTCAGCATACCAAACTATTTCAAATGGCAATCTGTCCAGTGGCTTAAAGCTCGGCAGGACAATGAATCCAAGCAAAAGAATGGCTGAAAAACAAAAGAATCAAGGTGTTGCAATAGCCCAGTCAAAGCACAGACCTCATCTCATTTTAAAATGTTGGGACCTTAACAGAGTTGTGAATACATCTATGCCCACAAACCTCAATGAACTGAAGCAAACTTGTGATGAAGAGTAGACCAAAACTCCTCCACACAAAGTCATACAAAAAACGATTCATTTATAGCTTTAGCAACTTTAGCTGCTAAAGCTAAAACTGCTAAAGTAGCTTTTAGCATCTCTTGTGTATTTGGTGTTTCCACACGCTTCTTCTGCATTTTGGCTTTGTTTTTGTTAAATAGATAACAGTATGGTGTATTATGTGATCTTGTTATGTTTCTGGACTTGGTGTAGACAAGATAATTTTTATTATGTCCTGAAAGGCACAAATCATAGAATTGACAGACAACTGACTGATTATACAATATGAAAACACACATCTTAAGTTATACTTTATAGTAATATTACAAATAATAGACAAGTCTTACTGAGTCCAAAGGGAAGACATGAATGATCTACACAGAATCTGGACAGAGTATTATATTAACCTCTTGTTAATGCTAAAGAATGCTAAACACAGACAAGTACACTAAAGAGCCACAGGTTCACATAGGGATAAGCACATTGTGAAAGGATATCCTGAGGCTGTTTCACTTGAATTGGGCTGAGGTGTATGAAGCTATCACCTTTTGTTTACCGCATAACAATTGCAATGCATGATGTTTGTACAGTGAATACATTTAGATGCAATAAACTCTGCATGACTCTTAGCTTAATAATATTTTATATTGCTTTGGTTAATTTGTTCAAGAATTCCTGTCACATTATCTCCAGAATAATTACATTTGCTAGCCAAACATAAAGGGCCAAAAGGATATCAAACTTAGTGAGTAATATAATAAATAAATCAAAACCCAGAGATCCATATCTCGCAGTCTATTTTCAAAGCACAAGAAAGTATGCACGGCATTGAATAATCTTTAAATATAATATTGAATAATGTTTAAGCTGATTTTTTCCCCCAAATCTCCCCACTATAAAACGTACAAAGAACCTCATTTTTTATGTGTAAATCGGCTGGAGGAGATAAAATTTATCATTTCCATTTATTATGAAAAAGTTAGATCTAAAACACTGGGCTTGCTTTCAGGCAAAGCAATTTAATGAGTAAACACTGTCTTCTTATTATATGCTGTAAGTAATACTAAGATTACTGGAGAGCAATTGCTGTGTGCGTGTGAGTGTGCACCTATTCATCATAACTACCTTGGTAGTTTCCGCCTGTTATGTAAAATGATAAAATTCAATCAATATAGTCATTATAGCCTTATTGTGATTGTAATTAGATTTTCCTTCCAATTATTATGATAAGGATTATGAATCACATGTCCCTGCACCTCCCCTACATATGGAGCTCACTGAACCACTTGATCTGTATGTAGACAGCCTTGTTAATGAACATATTAGATAGATCATGCCCTGGTTGCTCACTCACGTCGCTGTCGTCCTGCCACACGTGTTGCATCTGAAGCTTTTCTGCTTCTGTTGCCAGCCTCTAAAAGAAGACAGACAGAAGGAGAGTAGAAGAGAAAAACACATTATGTAAGACCATTTTAATATTATAAAAACCTCTGAATTCTTTTGACTCTAAGGCGGCAACAAAAAACTACAAGTAAGTCAGCTAGAGAAATGGTGATCATAAAAATTAAATGCAGCAGATTTCATATGATTCTTAGCCAGAGTGTATTCAAGGGAAAATACCACATTTCCCTCGAATACCTTCAGGTATGAATTAGAACCATTGACACCGAGTTGTGCTAAAATTAGACACCCACCTTCCATCTTCTCCCGAGATCTGATCATAATGACTGGGTTAATGGGTTTATAATGGTCCCAGTTTTTAATCTGTACATGGTCCAGAAATTCACTGTATTATTAACTGCCCTTGGGAAATATGAAATCCAGCTCTTTCTGCTTTTGTGTATGTCACTATGAGTTTCAAGTCACATACACACACACACACACACAAAATAGGCAAGTAATCCGATGCGGGCAAAGGACTCAATTAATTCACTGTATCAACCCACTCCTCTTCTAATTCCATAATATAATTTTGCAGTAAGATTAAACACGACAGTCGCAAGAATCAACGAGGCAGCACAAAGTCTGACTGTGAATCCCAGGATGGGATATTAGTCACAGTGTTTGTGATGCAAAATCAAGCTTCAAACACGATTTAGGCAGTAAGAGGAACAATTTTGGAATCACTTAAACAAAATTACTGAATATAACACCAGATAGCTAATATCCTTGTAGCCATACAATAAGATATATTACACAGAGCTGATCTTTTTATGCAAGGGACAGAAGTCTAACGGAAATCACAGATAATGAGACAAACTTGCAACACATCATTTTAGCTATTTGGGAGAGTTGCCATTAGTCACCAAGTACAACAAAAGCACTTGTTCTGTTATCGTTGGCCCCACATTTTCCTGGTGGTAGACAGAACTTCATATCAAAACACAAGTAAGAAGCATGAACATGCACCAAATATTGGATGTTACTGGAAAGCTAGAAAAAAAAGCCTCTGCTGATTTAAAATATCAATGTCCATAAAAAGAAAGAAAGAAAGAAATTAGATAAAACAAGCAGAAAGAGTAGCAGCCGCTCACAGATCTGACTTCACATTACTAGTTATGCTTGTGCTCCGTACCCCATTATGTTATCTGGAGGCTGAAAGCAAACCACACTCTGGTTGTGTCTCATTAGGGGGAAATTTAGCAGGAGCTTTAAGAGATGGCGGGAGCAAAGGTGAAAACGCGCTACCGCTATGTCTGTGCAGTTATGGTAGGGGGGAAAAAAGGCTTCGGTATAGCTTCAATACACGACATGTGGGCTACTTATAGGGAAAATATGTATACAACGTTCCTGGTAGCCACCTGCTCTGTCATTGCTCTGTTAGACAAGTTTATGTTTATGACTCTCCATGTATCCACATGCACACAACCCCCCCTTTTTTTGAGGTATATGAGTCTTGGCAGTGGGGTCATTCTGGTCTTTTTATTTGCACATGCACAAACACACAGTGCCTTTGTAGATTTTGTTTCTAGTTGCCAGTGGCAACCAGGCTTCATGGACTTAATGGGAATATCCTGTCAGTTTCCAGTCAGGTCACTAATGGTGCAAAGACAAATCAGTTTGTGTGTCGTTTCTGTGGTCACAAACCCACAGATGGCCGTTTACTGTGGAAGCACTCCCATTTCAGCTCCAAGCATTATTGAAAGAATGCAACATGATAAGAAGACAAGGGCTTTGTGTGCATTTCTGTTGTCCGCACAAAAGCAATTTGCAAAGCATTTTCATCACATTCACATCATGTAAGTCTGGATATCAGTTGCAGCAGGTGAATGAAACTCATTCCAGCATACCTGCTCACACGTTACTAAGAAAACATAGTGTTCAGTACTTAAACACATACAGCATGCAGCTGCTCAACTTAACCATACACAGATGTTCACGTAACAACACAACAATAAGGTGGTTGCATACAGTAAGATGAATTTTATCTTTCAGTAGAACAATGACACACAGCATATATCTGAATCAACATCCAAATCTGGCCTCACCAGAAGAAGATTAAAGTTTTGGAATGGCCCAGCCAGAGCCCAGACCTGAATCCCACTGAAAATCTGTGAAATGAGCTGGATAGGGCTGTGCACAGGAGAAGCCCTCACACTCTGACAGATTTGGAGCAATACTGCAAAGAAGAGTGGCCAAATTTTTGCCAAGTTAAGATGCGGCATGCTAATTCCTACCCAAAAAGACTGACTGCTATATCACAATCAAAAGATGCTCCAACAAAATAAAAAGGGTATGCATACTGATCTTATTCCTTCCACTGAAATATTTCTTTGTTTTTTAATTAAAAGCTATGGATTACAGAGAGATACCTGCTCACATGCATTTGTATTTACTATCGTTTTACTTGGTATTTCCCTGCAGGTGAGGCCTGCTGACCTACATTTGACTCCTTTCACCCAGTAGTTAAAGGTGCCAGGTTGAATTTCAAGCAGCTGTACACACACACAAACACATGGGCACAGGAAGAGGCATTTATAAGGATCTCAGCAGCAGATCAAGAGGTGAAGGGGTCAAAAGTGCCCAGCTGTTTCTTCCACCTTGTAGCTTCTCTTTTATGTTGAATCCACAGCCTCGCAGTGCCTTTCTACGCCTTTAAGCAGTTAAAGGTTTTTTAGAATTTACTGCTCAAAGTGCAACATAAACACATGTCAAACAGTACATAAAAGAAACATGCAACACCAGTTATCTTACAATACATAATGAGAAGATGTTGAAATAAGGATTTGCTAACAAGCTGGCATAGAAATATACAATATGATCAAATTTCTTTTAGCAAGACTAATGAGAACATTGTTGCGTTAGTGAGAAGATAATGAAAATGTAGCTTCATGCCTTAGAACCAAGTTACTTCAAGTTAGGTACCATCCACTTTTGTGGGACATTCAAATTCATTAGGACAGACATGCTACTGAATATGAGTTTTACTGATATATGTGCCAAAATGCTCAATTCAAATTGGTGCTACATTGCTGACATTTAGCAAATAAGAAAGAAAAACATGTTTAACAAGCTTCAAGTGATCACTTCAGAACAGATCTTTCATAAATCCACTGAATACTTGGACACAGCCTGTGTGCGCTTGCACGTGTTTTTCTTCTGCTCGGAGAAAATGAGTCATGTCTTCTGTAATTCCTTTAATCTCCTTCTGATGTCACTCGACGATGAGGCAAACTGAATGTGTTATGCTACAAAAATGTTATTTCTGAGGACCCAGAGCAATAAACACCCATGAACTATGTGAGCTATAAACATTACGGCATGTACAAACTGAGCTGGCCTCAAAAGAATGACAAATAGTGTGTAACTTTGCCCAAAAACAACAACAACTAACTCCAAACAAGAACTCTGTGGATTTATAGCTTATATTTTCTATTTGTTGGAGGATAAATGTGGAAGAAGCTCTCTACTGATCAATAACACCTCACATTATGTTTTAATGCAAGGCTGATTTGCCTGATGGAGATGGGTCTTTATATGTCGTAGTAAGGGTGGGGTATGGAAAGCAATGGAAAGAGTTTAAAGCAGAAGAAAATTGATACAATTACAGTTAATGTATGTAAACTCTTATAATCACTGAGTCACTCACACATGCTCTCTCTTTTTTATCCTTTGTCTGTGATCTAAGAACACTGGATTACATATTGTGCTCTGAAACTCCTGTGATTTTGTAAGCACCACACAGAGATGTACTGTGTAAACATGCTTGCTTTACTGACACACGCTCCTGGCAGCCTGATTAGAGCATCTAGTACTGCCAGGACAGCACACACAAACACACACACACACCTGCCATCTCACTGATGTGTAGGGAGGCACGGGAGAGCAGAGGAAACATGAGCATCTGCTGTTGTGACTGGCAGCACTTTAGTCAGATCTATCCTGCTCAGCCTGTAGGGAGCCAGGAGGAGAGTGGTGAGAAAAAAGTGGTGAGAGAGGACATACATTTGCACACATTGCACAGATACACACACAAACACACACACACACACACTTACACTGGCACCAGAAGGAAAACAACTGTACAGTGAGCGCAAGCAAGTTGACAAATTAACCCTATCTACACAACTCTGGTCTTTTAGAGAAGACATCACTCTCACCAACATACTAACTTAGCATGAAGTGACTTGTTAGAGACTGGTGCTGATCCACTGCTGTGCTCTGGTTTGACAGCTCATCTCTCCTGCAGCAAACTCTTCCAGCCGACCATGCTATCTGTGTGCCAGCTGGCTGCAAACAACTCCCAATTACAGCTGTACCCAGCTGGAAAGTTGATGTGACGGTTCTGCACATGGACACACCTACAGCCACTCACTGATTTGCTGTATGTTTCAAAAGAAAGGTTACCATTTTGATCGTCAGCGATTTGGCTTTACATATAACTATTTACAGATCACAACAATAACTAGTTGAATGGTGCTTACTTTAGCTCTTTCGTGAAGCGTGACGGAGCAGAGGCAGTGTTTTTGACCGAAACACTCACACACTGTGATAGCTACTGTTGCTGATTCAATTAAAAAGCAGAATTTGACCAATGTAAAGCAATTAAAAAAACAAAAACAACAACAAAAACAATGAAAACTGTCTTTTTCTGAGGCACTGCTGTTGTTGTCTATATCTGAATGGGACTAAATGTGACAGACAGAGGGAGATAGAGTTATAATGAGCAAGAAATCTGTATACATATACTGTATATCTGATAAGTTTCATGTAGGAAAACAGAGATGACAAACACAAAGCCGGAGCACTGCGACAGCTGGGCTGACAAAAGCAGCTAGACACACAAATACACACACAAGCACACACAGTCCAGGAAGTGGTGAATAATGAGTCACTAGTGGCCAGAATCTCTCTCTCTCTCTCACACACACACACACACATGCACAGACACACACGTGCACTCTTTATCTCATT